AAAAAAAGCTGGCCTGAAAAAATGTTATTGGGTCGCAGCTGTTGCGCTGCTTGCACCGCTGTTTTTCAGTGATAGAAATATTTTATGCTGTTGTCCTACAGTGAACAACGAACAGCTGTCGCGCTGCTTCCAGAGCTATTTCCAGTGATCGAAATGTGTTATGCTGTTGTCGTACAGTGAAAAATACAAAAAAGCAGCTGTCGTGCTGATTCCCTCTCTCTTTTCCAGTGATCGAAATGTGTTATGCTGTTGTCGTACAGCGAAAAATGTAAAAAAAGCTGGCCTAAAAAATTGTATTGGGTCGCAGCTGTCGCGCTGCTTGCACCGCTGTTTTTCAGTGATAGAAATATTTTATGCTGTTGTCGTACAGTGAATAACGAACAGCTGTCGCGCTGATTCCCTCGCTCTTTTCCAGTGATCGAAATGTGTGATGCTGTTGTCGTACAGTGAAAAATACAAAAAAGCAGCTGTCGCGCTGATTTTAGTGATCGAAATGTGTTATGCTGTTGTCGTACAGGATGGTCATCAGACGGCAAGGAGGGAAAGGAAGGCGAAAGTGAGTGAAAGTGAAAAGTAAAGCGCATGTGAATAAAACAGTTGAATGTACCGCAAGGACTAAAGAAAGGAGCGGAATAAGAAATTGAGCGCAAGTGAGTGAAAAGTGCAAAAGTGAAAAATGAAAGCGCATGTGAATAAAAACAGTTGAATGTACCGCAAGGACTAAAGAAAGGAGCGGAATAAGAAATCGAGCGCAAATGAGTGAAAGTGAAAAGTGCAAAAGTGAAAAATGAAAGCGCATGTGAATAAAAACAGTTGAATGTACCGCAAGGACTAAAGAAAGGAGCGGAATAAGAAATTGAGCGCAAGTGAGTGAAAAGTGCAAAAGTGAAAAATGAAAGCGCATGTGAATAAAAACAGTTGAATGTACCGCAAGGACTAAAGAAAGGAGCGGAATAAGAAATTGAGCGCAAGTGAGTGAAAAGTGCAAAAGTGAAAAATGAAAGCGCATGTGAATAAAAACAGTTGAATGTACCGCAAGGACTAAAGAAAGGAGCGGAATAAGAAATTGAGCGCAAATGAGTGAAAAGTGCAAAAGTGAAAAATGAAAGCGCATGTGAATTAAAACAGTTGAATGTACCGCAAGGACTAAAGAAAGGAGCGGAATAAAAAATTGAGCGCTAGTGAGTGAAAAATAAAAATAAAATGAGGCGATATGGGCACAGAGAAAGTTAAAAGCAGAACGAATAACGCAAAGAAAAAACAGCTGTCGCGCTGAATTCCTCGCTCTTTTCCAGTGATCGAAATGTGTTATGCTGTTGTCGCACAGCGAAAAATGTAAAAAAAGCTGGCCTGAAAAAATTGTATTGCGTCGCAGCTGTCGCGCTGCTTGCACCGCTGTTTTTCAGTGATAGAAATATTTTATGCTGTTGTCGTACAGTGAACAACGAACAGCTGTCGCGCTGATTCCAGAGCTATTTCCAGTGATCGAAATGTGTTATGCTGTTGTCGTACAGCGAAAAATGTAAAAAAAGATGGCCTGAAAAAATTGTATTGCGTCGCAGCTGTCGCGCTGCTTGCACCGCTGTTTTTCAGTAGAATATTATGCTGTTGTCGTACAGTGAATAACGAACAGCTGTCACGCTGATTCCCTCGCTCTTTTCCAGTGATCGAAATGTGTCATGCTGTTGTCGTGTAAAAAATACAAAAAAATCAGCTGTCGCGCTGATTCTAGTGATCGAGATGTGTTATGCTGTTGACGCACAGCGAAAAATGTAAAAAAAAGCTGGCCTGAAAAATTTTGTTACGTCGCAGCTGTCGCGCTGCTTGCACCGCTGTTTTTCAGTGATAGAAATATTTTATGCTGTTGTCGTACAGTGAACAACGAACAGCTGTCGCGCTGATTCCAGAGCTATTTCCAGTGATCGAAATGTGTTATGCTGTTGTCGTACAGCGAAAAATGTAAAAAAAGCTAGCCTGAAAAAATTGTATTGCGTCGCAGCTGTCGCGCTGCTTGCACCGCTGTTTTTCAGTGATAGAAATATTTTATGCTGTTGTCGTACAGTGAATAACGAACAGCTGTCGCGCTGATTCCCTCGCTCTTTTCCAGTGATCGAAATGTGTTATGCTGTTGTCGTACAGTAAAAAATACAAAAAAATCAGCTGTCGCGCTGATTCTAGTGATCGAGATGTGTTATGCTGTTGTCGCACAGCGAAAAATGTAAAAAAAAGCTGGCCTGAAAAATTTTGTTACGTCGCAGCTGTCGCGCTGCTTGCACCGCTGTTTTTCAGTGATAGAAATATTTTATGCTGTTGTCGTACAGTGAAAAATAAAACAAACCAGCTGTCGCGCTGATTCCCTTGCTTTTTTCCAGTGATCGAAATGTGTTATGCTGTTGTCGTACAGTGAAAAATACAAAAAAAGCAGCTGTCGCGCTGATTCCCTCGCTCTTTTCCAGTGATCGAAATGTGTTATGCTGTTGTCGCACAGCGAAAAATGTAAAAAAAGCTGGCCTGAAAAAATTGTATTGCGTCGCAGCTGTCGCGCTGCTTGCACCGCTGTTTTTCAGTGATCGAAATATTTTATGCTGTTGTCGTACAGTGAAAAATAAATCAAACCAGCTGTCGCGCTGATTCCCTCGCTTTGTTCCAGTGATCGAAATGTGTGATGCTGTTGTCGTACAGTGAAAAATACAAAAAAGCAGCTGTCGCGCTGATTCTAGTGATCAAAATGTGTTATGCTGTTGTCGTACAGGATGGTCATCAGACGGCAAGGAGGGAAAGGAAGGCGAAAATGAGTGAAAGTGAAAAGTAAAGCGCATGTGAATAAAACAGTTGAATGTACCGCAAGGACTAAAGAAAGGAGCGGAATAAGAAATCGAGCGCAAATGAGTGAAAGTGAAAAGTGCAAAAGTGAAAAATGAGAGCGCATGTGAATAAAAACAGTTGAATGTACCGCAAGGACTAAAGAAAGGAGCGGAATAAGAAATCGAGCGCAAATGAGTGAAAAGTGCAAAAGTGAAAAATGAAAGCGCATGTGAATAAAAACAGTTGAATGTACCGCAAGGACTAAAGAAAGGAGCGGAATAAGAAATTGAGCGCAAGTGAGTGAAAAGTTCAAAAGTGAAAAATGAAAGCGCATGTGAATAAAAACAGTTGAATGTACCGCAAGGACTAAAGAAAGGAGCGGAATAAGAAATTGAGCGCAAATGAGTGAAAAGTGCAAAAGTGAAAAATGAAAGCGCATGTGAATAAAAACAGTTGAATGTACCGCAAGGACTAAAGAAAGGAGCGGAATAAAAAATTGAGCGCTAGTGAGTGAAAAATAAAAATAAAATGAGGCGATATGGGCACAGAGAAAGTTAAAAGCAGAACGAATAACGCAAAGAAAAAACAGCTGTCGCGCTGAATTCCTCGCTCTTTTCCAGTGATCGAAATGTGTTATGCTGTTGTCGCACAGCGAAAAATGTAAAAAAAGCTGGCCTGAAAAAATTGTATTGCGTCGCAGCTGTCGCGCTGCTTGCACCGCTGTTTTTCAGTGATCGAAATATTTTATGCTGTTGTCGTACAGTGAACAACGAACAGCTGTCGCGCTGATTCCAGAGCTATTTCCAGTGATCGAAATGTGTTATGCTGTTGTCGTACAGCGAAAAATGTAAAAAAAGCTGGCCTGAAAAAATTGTATTGCGTCGCAGCTGTCGCGCTGCTTGCACCGCTGTTTTTCAGTGATAGAAATATTTTATGCTGTTGTCGTACAGTGAATAACGAACAGCTGTCGCGCTGATTCCCTCGCTCTTTTCCAGTGATCGAAATGTGTTATGCTGTTGTCGTACAGTAAAAAATACAAAAAAATCAGCTGTCGCGCTGATTCTAGTGATCGAGATGTGTTATGCTGTTGTCGCACAGCGAAAAATGTAAAAAAAGCTGGCCTGAAAAATTTTGTTACGTCGCAGCTGTCGCGCTGCTTGCACCGCTGTTTTTCAGTGATAGAAATATTTTATGCTGTTGTCGTACAGTGAAAAATAAAACAAACCAGCTGTCGCGCTGATTCCCTTGCTTTTTTCCAGTGATCGAAATGTGTTATGCTGTTGTCGTACAGTGAAAAATACAAAAAAAGCAGCTGTCGCGCTGATTCCCTCGCTCTTTTCCAGTGATCGAAATGTGTTATGCTGTTGTCGTACAGCGAAAAATGTAAAAAAAGCTGGCCTGAAAAAATTGTATTGGGTCGCAGCTGTCGCGCTGCTTGCACCGCTGTTTTTCAGTGATAGAAATATTTTATGCTGTTGTCGTACAGTGAAAAATAAATCAAACCAGCTGTCGCGCTGATTCCCTCGCTTTGTTCCAGTGATCGAAATGTGTGATGCTGTTGTCGTACAGTGAAAAATACAAAAAAGCAGCTGTCGCGCTGATTCTAGTGATCAAAATGTGTTATGCTGTTGTCGTACAGGATGGTCATCAGACGGCAAGGAGGGAAAGGAAGGCGAAAATGAGTGAAAGTGAAAAGTAAAGCGCATGTGAATAAAACAGTTGAATGTACCGCAAGGACTAAAGAAAGGAGCGGAATAAGAAATTGAGCGCAAGTGAGTGAAAAGTGCAAAAGTGAAAAATGAAAGCGCATGTGAATAAAAACAGTTGAATGTACCGCAAGGACTAAAGAAAGGAGCGGAATAAGAAATCGAGCGCAAATGAGTGAAAGTGAAAAGTGCAAAAGTGAAAAATGAGAGCGCATGTGAATAAAAACAGTTGAATGTACCGCAAGGACTAAAGAAAGGAGCGGAATAAGAAATTGAGCGCAAGTGAGGAAAGTGGGAAAGGCGTGAAAAATGAAAGCGCAAAAGTGAAAAAGGAAAGCGCACGTGAATAAAAACAGTTGAATGTACCGCAAGGACTAAAGAAAGGAGCGGAATAAGAAATCGAGCGCAAATGAGTGAAAAGTGCAAAAGTGAAAAATGAAAGCGCATGTGAATAAAAACAGTTGAATGTACCGCAAGACTAAAGAAAGGAGCGGAATAAGAAATTGAGCGCATGTGAGTGAAAAGTGCAAAAGTGAAAAATGAAAGCGCATGTGAAGAAAAACAGTTAAATGTACCGCAAGGACTAAAGAAAGGAGCGGAATTAGAAATCGAGCGCAAGTGAGTGAAAGTGAAAAGTGCAAAATGAAAGCGCATGTGAATAAAAACAGTTAAATGTACCGCAAGGACTAAGGAAAGGAGCGGAATAAAAAATCGAGCGCAAGTGAGTGAAAAAAGAAAATAAAATGAGGCGATATGGTCACAGAGCAGCATCTTTAAGCAGCGGAAGGAGAACCGTACCATTACTGAGAGAGAGTTAAGAGCGGAGGAGGAGCATATGTAAAATGCAAGGTAATTCTATACTGGACTCTACATTATTTGATACATTTTTATTCATAAAACATTTCTACTGTTAATTCCAGACCCCCAGAGCGGATGATCATAGCTCTTTTTGATTTTGTCTCGGGAAGAGAAGACCGAAAGATATAACCATCAACTTCAAGGTATTTCTACACTACACTCTACATTATATGAAACATAAAACATTTCTTGCATATCCACTTAGGGCCTCCTACCTTCCCAACTCGCCGCTTGTCAAACACTTTATGGCCACTCAAATCTCACGCCCTCATGATTATCGCACTCATATATCTTTCATGACTTTACACAAAAGCATATTTTTTTTTGTGCTACATTTTGTGGCCATTGTTTTTGGTATTTTTTTTTCAGTTGGATCTCTTTTCTCCGTTTTGGGGTCCTGGCCATTGTATAATTTATGCAAATTTAAATTTCGCACTTGACGGCACCCGCGGCACTTTGCCTTTCGCTGCCTTTTGAACGGAGTTTTTTTTTTGCCTTCGTTCGTTGGTTGTTCATTTTATGATGAGGCGATGGATATGGATGCCCTTTTGTCATTCTCTACAATGTTTTATTTACAATGTGATCCGCAGCCCCCCATTGTACTCATAAAATGGTGGCATATGTGGCGGAGGAGGGATAAAAACTTGCGGCAATTGTGATGCCTGGTCAGGGGCTCAGTGGCTATCGCATTAAAATTGCATGAAATTTTGTGCCACTTACACTTTAATGAAGGATGCCAATGAAGGTGGGGGGAAAACAAAGGTAGTCTGTGATAATCCCCAGCATTTCAATGTCCGATGGATATCTCTAAGAGAGAGAGAGAGAGCCAAGCTAATCCTCAGGCACTCTCGTTTCTCTGGCACTTCCCCACTGCATCAAGATGTCTTTTTTTTTGCGGCCAATTAAGCGTTTATCGATTCCTGCGCCTGGTGACTTCTTTTCTCGCTTGTCTCAAATTACAAGGATTTATGGGCGAAATCCCTGATTTTTTCGCTTTCCTCCCTTTGCCCATATCCGGAGACTTCAATTAAGCGCTTGAGCGCAGAAAGAAATCTTCTCTCTACCTCTCCCGCTCTTCGTGTGTCTGCTGACTGTGAAATTTGTTGTACGCTGCGCGCCGTTTAAGCCTCTCATATTCATAACTGGCTTAAGAGCACGGCAAATTCCATCTAAGAGAAAGCGAAGCTTCGCTTAAACTAAAACTTGTGTATGATTTAATAATATATTCCCGGCCAGGGCCATGGCAGTCACTGCTTCGTGCAGTTCACTGGGTTTTGAAGCGGCCATGAAGGTACACAAGGAACGTGGGTAAACAGAACGACGTTGAAAATCATTGCAAGGATATATTTACCACAACATCGCGACGACGATGACGATGACTGCATTGTGGTAATGGCATTGGCGCCTTTTTTCAGGGCATCCTCCAAAATATCTTTGTTTTTTCCAGCGGCTTTTGTTTGCCTTTGCCTTTGCTTTCTGCTCTCCCATCAGCAGATAGCTGATGGCCATGGTAACCATCATTTTCCATAAATTCTTAAAGTAGCATCATTGAAAAACTTTGAACTTTGTGGGTGGGTGAAGAGTACGGCTTGGGGGAGCAGTCTGCTGACTGCTGGGGCAACCTTTACTTTACTTTGATTTGAACATGAAATGCACTTTCAGGGCAGTCAAGTGAGAGTTGCCATTCGGTGGCAACCTCTCTCTCTCTCTCCCTCACTTCTCTGTCCCCCGAGGGTAGTGTGGAGGATGGGGCATATAACCTTTGGATACATCCTACATCACAGAGTGTGTGTGTGTGTGTGTGTGTTTATATCGATGTGTGTACTTAAAGTGGCTTACTACTGATGTGATTGCGATAACATTAAATATTTCAAATGGATAAATATTAAATGCTGGTAAAATTGAGCTCTGAAGGTTTTTTTAAGGCAACTGTAGGTCCTGGTAGATATTTTCATTACCTTTTGTGATCAGCATCTCAAATTTCTGCCACTCCTAAAGAGAATTCCAATTCAAAAAATATTCGCGCACACGAAATCGAATTGTATTCCATAGAGAGAACTTCCCTTCGAGTACTGGCCCAAAAGATTCTTCAGATAAATCTACCATTCATCAAGCATTCGCCCCCAGGCGCCACTACGATTAAGCCTCCCTTTCCATGTGTAGGCTCGCACTTTGAAAAAGATTTAGTATCTTTTGTGAGCTCTGCTGTGCTGTGCTGCTTCTCTCATGCCATCGTCTTTGGTCGTGTCATTAGGCTATGCAATTTTTTACGAGCCATATCTCTGTTTCTATCTGTCTGCGGGAATTCGTGTATTTTTTTTGGTTCCCTTTTTTGGGTGCAATGCACTCCAACCGAAGGAAGGGAAGGCAGGAAGGACGGAAAGGAAATCTCTCTCGCACTTTCCGTGACGCTGCAATTTGCAACACTTTGAAGTCCAGTCGAAATTTTGGACGTTCTGCTGGATGGATGCTGGTTTTTCTTTCGTGTTTTATTTTTTTTTTCTAATCTTTTTTCTGCACTGCCCTGTGTGGCCGCCCGGGTGGCCCTCTGGTGCTTTGCTGCTCGTTCGCTTTCCTTTTGCAACTATTTCAACAAAGCGCAGTGCAGTTACTTTTATGTTTTGTACGTGCCTCAGAGGAAACAAGCATCAGCAAGAGAGGAGTGGAGTGGAGTTGTGAAAGAGGGGGCAGGCAGCACACAGGAGGCACAGGAGAAAGAAAATCGCCATCTATGATGATGTAGCACGTGTCAACATCAGTTGGAATGGGAATGAATGACACACACACACACACACACACACACACACACCACATGAGCCACCGCCTGTCATCATAGATGTCAGAGAAGAGAGAACTTCACAGAGGGGGGGCTCCAACGGATGAAACCCCAAACATCTGACATGTTTCTGCATATCAAAGTGAGAGATGTGCCTGCCATAGTGGATTACGGGGAGTAGGGGAATAGGATATTCTTTTGAGTAGGGAACATTGCCCCTATAGAATGTTGCACAAATTGGGGTATAAAGAGGTGTACTTAAGCTACCTAATTAATGATAAATTGATGGACTAAATTGTGTCCTAGTACGGGTATAAATCGAATTAAAATATAGGATTAAATACTGGTATTTTTTTTTTTTAATTTTTAATAGATGAAGTACAGGGGTTCTATGTAAAAGAAAGCCTTATTTCGGTAAATTAATTCGTTTAAATTCTAGCATATTTTTCAATATTATTTCGTATTCTAAATTATAGTTTAAGTAAAGCTTAATTTAATTTATAATATTTTTATGATATTTATGGATAATTTGTTAGTCCGTTCCCGGCTTTTGCTATTTATCCCTCCTTTTATATTTATATTTATTTATATTTACTTAAGACTTTTATATTTATATTTATTTATATTTACTTAAGACATTTTAGCAGTCTGTGCCTCTGCCATTTGAAAGATGATCTGCAATCTCTTCTTAATCTTCTCTGCATTAAAAAACTCTGAAAATCTTAAATTTCAAAGTTTTATCGCTTGAACATCCCAAACATCGCTTTGCAATCCATAATCAGAATAGATTTTCTGCCAATCGCATGGTCTGCAGGGATTTGCATGGGGAATGGGGTCGAATGGTGGGGGTTGGGCAAACGCCCTTCTGTGGCTGCCACAAAACTGTCAGAGATTCAATGCGCGTTGCGTCGCGGCAAACATAATTTCAATTAATAATCAAATCAGACAAACAGCTCCGCCAAATCTCTGGCTGGGCCCCCAATGTTCCACGTGAGTCCCACTGCAGTGGAGGGCACAGGAGTCCAAGGACTCGGCCAAAATTGAAATTAACAAGATGCCAGGCCAGTGGGAGAGACGCGGGGCGCAGAGCAGCAGCAACTCCTGGCCGGTAACCAGGTCGTCATTATGGACCGCGAAATTAGAATAAAACTTTTGTGGGGCGAATTGTGTTAATGAAAGCGTGCGTCGGCGTGCCGGCAGTGTCTGCGGTGGAAAAATCTTTATTATTTTGTAATTAAGTGGCTTGTCACAAGTCCCACAAAAGTTCAGTCGAAGAAAGACAAGACAAGACTGAAGGAAGGGATAGAAAGGTCCTTTGGTCACTTATGCACAAAAAACAAGCGCCAAGACGACAGCACCGTCACAACGTCTACAAGGATGATGATGATGATGATAATTCTGGCAAAGAAAATTGTGTTGATTCAATTTGAAAAGAGAGTCGAAAGCTAAGGGAATGCCATGGCTGTGGGAATGTTGTGGGGGGATTGGGGCTATGGCTGCTGAAAAGATAGACAACTTGTGAACTTCAGAGTTTCAGTGGGCAGAGCGAGGGAGGTTGGGTGGTTCCAGTGCTCCAGTGCCTTGAAGTGGGTATTAGGGAGTCAAACCACAAGTTGACAGCCATTCAGCTTGTTTGCTTTTTCACTCTCCACTCAACCACTCAATGCCTTCCCCTCCCCCCCGCTCTGCTTGCCGCTTCACCATTTTACCCATTCAACATTCAACAGTCTACACAAATAATTATCCTCTTGACCCAAGAATTTGGAAATGTGGAATGGAAAATGTTGTCTCTTCATAATAATCTATGGGGGATTTGTGGGATTTGTAGGATTTATGAGAAGTATTTTTTGTTATTCGACCATTAATAGATTTGAATCACTGATAAATGTAGGACAATCGATGTACACAAGGATAAATGTTAAGGAAAGGAATTTATCTTTCATTCGCTGATATTTTTTTTTAGTATTTTTCTGTTATTTTTTTTCCGTATTTCTTGCTATTTTCACATCGAACTTTAAGGGGATGATCCATGGCAGTTCCATCTTCTTTAAAATCCTTTCTTTCTCTTATTTCAATATTTGTATCTCCTTGAGTTGTCTTCACCTTTAAAGAGCATCCTTTTTGAGTAACCTTTTCGCTGTCTTCGCTGTTTTCCCTTTCTCCTTTTCACTGCTCTTTTCGATAATCGAAAGCTATTATGCTCACATTAGTCTGAAGCTGAGATTTTTCGCTGCCAGTGGTTTCTCCACTTTAGTCCCCTACGTCCTCTTTCAGCTGCTGCTGCTGCTACTGCTACTGTTGATGGTGTCGCCTGTCGCCCTTTATGCAAATATTTACATATGCTCCACGACGACGATGGCAACGGCA